ACAGTGCCCATCACTCACCATTTATTCAGCCCCATTTAACTGTGTGCTTCCTTTTCCACCGATGAAAAGGAGGTGGCTCTTTTGTGAACTTGTTTCCTTCCCTAAGTAGACATGTGACAGACAGGCCGAGATGGCGATATGGAAAGAAAATTAGGTAAGAGCATATCTCTTGGTCGAAATGCAGAACACTGGCTGCTTCCTGCAGGTCTCCATGTGGGGAGTATGCACTTAACCCACCGGGACCTCTTTGCTTGCTGGGCTCTGGAGACAATTTGCTGTGACTCTTGACTGTTCACATCACTGATTTAATAGCCTAAAGATGTTACCCTTCTAGAACCATACAGTATGCCCCTGGCAACACTGCCCTTCATGAGAAACATGGTCCGCAGGGACCAGTCTAACTTGGATAACTTTTTTAAAACAATTCTTTTTTTTAAAGATTTGTTTTTAAATTTTATGTGTATGAGTATTTGCCTGCCTGTTTATGCGCCACATATGTGCAGTACCCACACAGGCCAGATGGGGGGGGGGCATTGGAGCCTCTGGAACTGGAGCTAGACGTGGTTATTAGCCACACCATGTGGGCGCTTGGAACCAAACCTGGGTCCTTAAGAAGAGCAGCAAGTCCTCTTGACCTTGGAGCCATCTCTAGCCCCAGAGCTGTTTTTGATGTGTTACTCAGCAACTGATTTTAAAATACTTTTAAAAAGTCAAGTATGCGTTTGAGCAAAGTCAGGAAACTGGAGCTTTGCTCTATAGAAAGTAGGAACCAGGCAGGGATGGGGGGGGGGAGTGGCGGCACACCCTTCAATCCCAGCACTCGGGGAGGCAGAGACAGGCAGATCTCTGTGAGGTTGAGGCCAGCCTGAAAAGAAAGTAGGAATCAGAGCATCTTTTTCTTCCTCTAATCAAACAGAAAGTAGATAAGGAAGAAAGCAGCAGTTGATGTGGGACTCGGGGGACCTTTGGAGAATCTGGGTATGATGTTGCTCCTTACGATTGTCGACTCAAAGGAGCAACATAGTGCTGGCAAAATTGAAGCCAACGCGTGGTGGAGTGGGATTGACCTTGGCATAGCATTAGGAGGCTGGGCCAGCTGGAACTCTAGAAACTAAAAGAGCTGAGAAATGTCCACATCCCTGCAACCACCCGTCCTTGCTCAACTCCTGAGATAATTTTAAGGTTCCATTATGTAGCATAATGCTCCTTGAAGAATTCTGAGGCGGTGAGCAGGGGGCTACAAAACACAGGTGAAGTCCTGAAGCTGCAGCCAGCCCAGCATGCTTCGTCTGTCCCCACTGTTGTACTCCCACCCTAGAGCAGAGGCCGTCCCTGTCCCACCATCTGGAGACCCACCTACTGACTGACCACTGTCTCTCTGCCACCCTTGTGACTGCATGGCCAGAAGTGGATCTATTTAAGACTTCTGGGGCTTCCTGCTGCCTCAAGGAAGTCCACAGAGTTCACTGTGGTCTAGAAAGCCCAAATGTGGGTCCCTACCGTGCAGCCCCCACCTCTGACCCCAGCCTGAGTCTACTTAAGCTTGCACTATTCCTGGCCACTGCTATTCTGTTGTATTCTAGTCTTTATTTCTTCTCGTTCTGTCCTGAGTGACTGCCTTTCTCTCTGTAAGAATTTGACAGTCCTAGGGAGCCTGTACCAGTGGGATCAAATATGTCTTACCATTTGGTGACTGCCATATGTTACCCGACATAATGTCACTGTTAAGGCACGTGTCTGGATTTCCTTTCTTTGAAGGCTGAGAAGTATTTCAGTGTGGGTACACGCCACGTTTTATCTATTTATCCCTTGATGGACACTTGAATTCTTTCTACATTTTTCCCATCCTGAGTACCGCTTTGCATGTGTATGTACAAATATTACTGATGTCTTGGCATTGGGGAATACTTGCATATAGGTACAAATCTCAAGCCGGCAGAGGAGCTTGTGTCTGAAATAGATTTCCTGTAGGCTTTATACTTACTTTTCATCCACCAAAAGTGATTTCGTATGGTATTTCTCGTGTTGTTTTCTTTGTGTGTGGATGGGTATGTATTTGTGGGTAGGTATGTTTCTCAGTGTGCCTTGGGGTCAGAGGTCAGCTTTGGATATCATTCCTCACGAGCCTGAGACAGTCTGCTATTGGCGTGGAAGTGAAAGCGGGTTAGATTGGCTCATCCACCCATCTGGCTCTTCCTGCCTCCCCGACGCTAGGATTACAAGTACATGCCACCATGCCCAGCTTTTCATGTAGGTTTTGAGGGTAGAACCCAAGTCCTTATGCCAGAAATGCTTTGCCACTTGAGCCATCTCTCCAGCCCTGAAGTCCTGTTTTCAATTCTTTTGCGTTTATACTCAGTGGTAATGCTGGGACCTATGCTAATTATTATTTTAGGTTTTCCGAGGACCTAGCATGCAATTTTCAGAAGTGGCAGCGCTGAGTTACAGTCCCACCAGCGAGGCACATGGTTCCTATTTCGTCACATCCCCAGCAACACATTTGATTTTCTTTAATTGTGGCTAGCCTCGTGGGGAGGTCGTTGTGATGTGCATTTCCCTGATGCTCAGCGATGTTGGACACCATTTCCTAGGACTGCAGGCATGCGTATACCACCACACTGGTCATAGTTCACTAATTTTAGACCATGCTAACTTGGCTGAATGTGGGTCCCAGTTTCCCTAATGGTGATTTTGATCATGAAACTTTGCACACTCTTAGTTCTTCCTGTAGTTCCAAAATATGACATAGTTTCGCTCCCCCTTGCTCCTCATTTATGAAGGAGGAAGGGAAACAGCCTAGTCCTACAGGTGATAGAACAGAGATGGGGGTTGGCGCTCTCTCTGTCGCTGTCTCTCTCTCTTCCCTCTCTCCCTCCCTCCCTCCTCCTTCTCCTCTTGTCACTGTTAGATGGATTAACACTTCCTGCTCATCCCTTCTCCATCCTTGGATGCCTTCCTCTGCCTTACCTCCTGCCTGGATTGGCTCCTGTGCTTCCTCAGCTGGATCCTGGCGTGTTCTCATGACAGTGTCCTTACCCGTAGGCCTGGTTTTTTGTTCACTGCTTCTCAGTACAGTTTCCATAATACAAGTTTCCCCCGTGGCTGCTTAGTTCAAGTTCTTGGGTGTTTCTCTGTTTCTTTCAGGGTAAAGACCACACCACTCCCATGGCACATCGGCTGCCCGTGGTAACCCTGTCACTCACCCTTATCTTAAGCACCTTTCCTGAGCCCTGGGCCTGGAATGCCCGGACAATGTACCCAGATTTCCATGACTTCCTGGTCTTCTTGGCCAATAAGACCCAGTACCTGCACTCCAGCCGCAACCCACCCTTGCCTGCTGTGCTCTCTGCCTACCTCTCGGCAATGGGCCGGATTATAGTGTAACTTAACGTTAGCCCAATGCCTTTCACAAAGGTAGGTATTTGTAGAGAGGTGGAGAGAGATAAATAAGGAAAGTGTGAGATTTCTAGATCTTGTCTCTGTCCTAGACACTGCCCTCTGTCACGTCCTCCCAGTCCAGGGAGGCTGAAGTTAGCAGGAACTCCCATAGTGACCCAGTTCAAAATTGCTTCTTTCTCTGGCCACCGTGAAGCAAGCTGACCCTGGCCTACCTTCTGGTAAATGCATCCCAGCAGAGGTGACTCATCTGTGTGTGACTCAGGCTCAGCCGCACAGCTGGAAGGGCAGCCAGCACGTCCACAGGGGAGGGCAGTCACAGAGCCAGAGCCCCAGGCAGGAGGCGTGTGCCAGCCAGCCTCCTGCAACCTTGTGCCTGCTCACCCGAGCAAGCCTATAAGCTGCCCTCTCTCAGCTGGCATAGCTGCACTGGCTTCTGCTGAGCAGGAGACTGAGGCAGGAGGATTGGCACAAGGTGGAAGGTCTACATAGCAAGGCCCTGACTGTAAAAACAAACAATTCTTCTGCCTGATTTAATAATTTAATAAAACAGTCCACCATCTGCTGGAAGCCTGCTACGATTTTAGGTTCTGTGCTGTAGATCTTTTCTTGTTTAATCCTCATAGTAGCCCAGCAACAGAAGTAATAGCAAATATGTACCAAATGCAAGCGCACACACACTACACATGCGCACACGCTTGCACCGCTCATGCACACATACATATTCATGCACATAAAAATACCCGAACACAATCCTCATGTGCGCGTGCACACAAAGGCACGCACAATGTGCCACACTTACTGTGTTAAGTACTTTTCTCAGTGTGGTGACAACCTAGCTGGTTCAAGAAGAGAGGGTCTGTTTGGGCTCACAGTTGGAGAGCACAGCCTATCCTGGCCGGGAGGACACAGTACGGGACTTTGCAGCAGCCGCTTGCATTGTATCTACAGTTGGGAAACACAGAGGCAAGTGCTCAGCCGACTCTCTCCTTTTGTTCCATTCCTTGAGATTGTGCCGTCTCCGTGCACGGAAGGTCTTCCCTCTCCAGTTAAACATTTCTGGGAGCACCTTCAGAGTAGATCCAGAAGTATGTTTCCATGGTGATTCTAAATTCAGGCAGGTTGTCAGAATCATCGCACGGTACTTAGCATGAATTCATTTATTTTTTTATAATACTCTGTGATACCGGAGCTCTTATCCTTACTTCCAACATAGAAACCTGAGGCTCCGAAAGAGACCTGACAGACAGGTGCCTCATAGTGGTGTAGGAAGGACAGAACTATGACATATAGAGAAAACTGAGACCCAGAGAGGTTTGTCATTTACCCAAGACACATGGCCAGGCACTGCCTTTCTGCCCGTTCTCTAGAACCATGCAGACATCACCACATGGACTCGGTTCTCTGTGGTCCTCCCATGGGTGCTTCCCAAGGACTGAGTCCAGAGATAAGGCAGGGTGCTGGGGCAGAAGCTTTCTTCTGAACTTGGGTGCAGCAGAGGAGGGGTACTGAGAGAGTGCTGTGTTCTCCATCTCTTTCCCCTTTGGGGTCTCAGAGCCTCTCCTCACCTGGGCCGTGCTGACAAGATCCCTTTTATCCCACAGATAGCGAGACAGTCCACTACCACTATGGCCCAAAGGACCTGGTCACCATCTTGTTCTACATCTTCATCACCATCATCTTGCATGCTGTGGTACAAGAGTACATCTTAGACGTAAGTGACAAGTTTGGATTCTGGGGTCAGAAGCTGGGCAGTCCTTTAGGATGGTCTGCCTTACCTTGAAGAAAAGCACAGCCTTGATTGGTTCTGTCCACTAACTTAGACCCTCTGGTTGCTAGAGGTAGATTCCGCCACTGCTCTGTTTCTGTCCTCTTTCTCAAGATTTTTTTAGTTCACACGTGGGGCAACAGTTCATAATGGGGCAAGCTGTCTCGAAGACAGCATGAGCATATCCTCGGGATCCTTCAAACACAGCATGACTGGAAGATGTTTTCTTTCCACAGAAGCTAACGGTCCAGACACCTACTGCTTTCTCAGAGTGCTTACCTGAAACTCAGCACCGTAAGCACTCAATAGGCTTAAACTAAATAGGCTGGGCTGTGAGGAGCTGGAACTACTAACTCTTTTGTCAAGGGGAGGCACGGGAGCGTGGAATCTGCCAGGAATCTGCATGCTCACTTATTAACGTCTGGAGTTTTTTTTTTTTTTTTTTTTCCTTCTCTAGAAAATCAGCAAACGGCTTCATCTCTCCAAGGTCAAACACAGCAAGTTCAATGAATCTGGACAACTGGTCGTCTTTCATCTCAGCTCGGTGGTATGGTGCCTCTACGTGGTGGTAACGGTGAGTAGTCCTCGTGACTGCTGAGGAGGGAAAGCCAAGCCACCGAGCATGCCCCTCGTTGCCGATGAAATGACTGTGAAGGGCTTAATGGGAAGGAAACGAGCTAGGAACAGGTGCCTTGGAATGGAAGCTTGTTTTGCATTCTCCTGGAATTGTAGGGAGCCGCTAGGTTAAGTAGTATAGATGCCACTGAGTGGAGTCATCGTCTTTTACAAAAGCAAGCACTGTTTACACTTTTTGCCTGTATTACGTGATAGGCATCCACATAGCTCTGAGTTGTTTTATCAGCCCTGTCTTCAAACACCGTCCCACAAGGTAATTCCCCCCCCCCCCCCCAGTACTGGGCCTTGTCCATGGCAGATAAATGCTCTTCCCATGAGCTACATTCCCCACCCACAAGATAAACCCATATTCACTCAGAACCTCTGATAGTGACTCGAGGCTCCCAAGCTCAGTTTTTCCAGTGCGTCCACAGCTGTGTACTTCCAAACATGGCTCGGACACGGAGGTCTGGCTCTGTTTGCGTCGCTGTGACACAGACCACGGGAAGGAGGGACGACTTAGGCCGGCTCCTAGTTTTGGTGCTCTCCGTCTGTGGTGACTGAGCCCACTGCTCTCAGCCAGAGGAAAAGTGAACCATTGTATGGACCTTGTGGAACTGAGTGGCTCTTCTCACAGTGGGTGGGAAGCAGACACTCAGAGAGGAAGGAACCAGGGTCAGTGTACCCTCTTCAAGGGCATGTCCCGGTGACCTACTTCCTCTTTCTAGGACCCACCTCCTAGCATCCACCACCCCCTAACAGTACCACAATTGATGCCACACGATCCAACCACTTCTCCAAAGCCCCAGCCCTGAGCATTGCACCAGGGTTCAAGCCGTAAATACACAAATTTTATGGGCGTACTTCATGTCTAACCAATTAACAAAGGCCAGCATCACCCTTCTGCACATCAAATCCTTTGATAGAGAAAAAAAAAATTCCTTCAGACAAGGACTTTGAATTGTCTTTGGGGGTTCACTGTAAGGAGACCCTGCCTGTTTTACTGTTGTGCTAGCTGCCACTCTGGCCGGGAGCAGCTTTTGTCTATAACCAGGTCCCGGCAGAAAGCCAGCCTGGGACTTGGAAATATCATCAGCTCTCTGGCCTCAAAGATTCTTCCCTGCTCTGCTGCCTCCCCTCTGCTCTCGCTGACAGAGATGGCCCTCTGTCTGTCATAAGGAGCCCTGTCTCCAGAGCTGACCTCTGAGAGACTGCATAGACTTGAAGCAGGAGGCAACATGTCCCTTCTGTGTGTTGCTTTTATTCCTATTATCAGGTTCATCTCAGAACACTTTCTGAGCAGCACACTAGGAATTTTAAATGGGAGACCAAAGACTTCCGTCCTCTCAGAGGGGGCTCCCACATTCCTGCTCCCCCCGGGGACAGGGTCACATGGCACCAATAGGGCTCGCTGCCCTTGTGTGGTGAGTCTGTGAGCCCCTCCCAGCTTCCTGACATTGAGTTCAATCCCACTCTTGGAGGCCTTAGCTGCTTGAGGCAAAAAGGCCTCCGAGTACCAAAGACACTGGTCTGTGTTGTGGGGAGCATCAACTCATCTCTGAAGCCCTTCTGCCTTTGCGTCCTCACTGTAGCCTCCCACCCTGCCTGTGAGCCGACTCAAGGTCTTCTTGGGGGAAATTCTCAGGTCCTTTATCTGGGGAAAGCCCTTTCCCCACTGCTACTGAACATGCTCAGGGAGACATGGAGACCAGGGACTCATGCAGGCCCCTGGCTTTGCTTTCTGCGCTCACCTCCTCTCTCCCAGCCATCGGCATGAGAGAAGGACGCTGAAGAATCTGAGAAGCCGTTATGTAAAGGGAGCAGAAACACATGGTTTTCAAATCACGGTTTTCTGTCACAACATAAAAGTGTCATGATTCTTTCCTTTCTTCCACTTCCAAAGTCATCAGATCCTGTCTGCTCAGCCTTCAGAATTCCAAAATTCTGAACACTGCTTTCCACGTGGGCCACTCCCCCAAATCCGTGGACCCCCACATAGGCCAGATGTTGGTCATGTGCCCCTGGCATCTCTAGGATGCTCTTTTCTTTCAGTTGAGAGGAGAGCCTCCCAGGGAAGCGCCTCTGGCTCCAGCTGTCACTACTGGAAAAGATTGGGAGCCCAGGCCCCTCCCCCTTTTGCCCTGCTGCTCATTTCTTCCTTTCCTGGGGAGTGCACTTCCATTCTGGGTCCTCCACTCAGCCCAGTATCTGCTCCTCCAGATGGATCTCTTTAGAGTGTGAGCCAAATCCTGTGCTCTCCGACTTGAAATAAGTTTCCTTCGCAGCTGCAGTGAGATTGTTTTCTCTTCCTCGCTTATGTGGCCTGGGTCCTGGGACCTTGCTGGTGACATCAGTGTGGACTCTCACTCTGTGATCAGCTCTGCTCCTCCAGGTCTGCCAGCTGCTTCCTTTGCTGGATTGTTCTGTCCGCAGACATCAGATGGCCAGCCCTTTCCTGCCATCTATCCTCCTCCTAAGTGTCGCCTCCTCAGGACCCCCCTCCCCAGTTGCACTTTCCACGCCATGCCTATTAAGGGTGTTTTACTGCTTCATGCATGTATTCTGCATGTCTGACTCAAGCTGCCTCCTCGCAGGTACCGTGCTCCCTGCTGTACCCTTAGTGCAGTCCCCTGCACATGGGAGGACAAATGACACTGAGGGTCTAGGTAGCAGCTGGCTGTGTTATGTCTAAACACTGCTAGTTTTGCGGTTCTTGTTTGAATACCAGAAAGGAAGGCAGCTAGGGAAATCAGAGGAATTGCTCCGGCATGCTGAGGCCTTGCGTGGGTAGATGTTAGGAATCGGAAGAGAACAAAGTGTTTGACATGTAGCCCCGGGCCACCTGTCGAGGCCTGGTTTGGGCTGGAAGGGGTTACAGTGCTCGCAATGTCGCTTACGACCCTGGAGCTCAGATGCCTTGGCATGCCCGAACTCAGCAGCCAGCCCCAGCCTTCCTTCATCCTCCCTCAGACAGCTGCCTAGACAGGGCTGGAAAGGGCTCCTCAGAGTGTGAGTCACTTTTCCTTTGACTCTCAGCTCCACCTCCTCCAGTCCCAGAGGACCGGACATTTGCAGGCAGCCAGCATTTTTCTGAGGAGTTTTTTTGGCTCGTTGGCTTCCAAGTTCTGACCTCTCTGTCTCCTAAGTGAAGAGGCCAATCGAGAAGTTCCTGTTTAAACACACAGACCCACCCAGGCCTTGGGTCTCTGGGGTGCCACGGATCCTGGCCTTTTGGGCAGAAGTCCCCCCCTCCCCCAATCCACTGCTGGCCACTCCAGGAAGTACCACTCTTGTTAAATACATAGCTGCTTCCTCTAGGAAGGGGCCATCTCACCCTCAGGGTTTCTTGGAATGAGGCTGGGTGGCTCATCGGGTGTCACTGTGCCTGAAGACAGATGTCTGATCAAGACTAGAGCGGGGTAGAGGTGAGACAGAGAGCAGCAGTGTGGGGTGTTAAAGCTCACTGCTACGCAGGCCCCCGCCCCAGGACCCCAGTGCCCAGAGCACTGCACTTCTGTGCCTCACTGTGCGTCACTGAGGCAAGAGGGAGGTAAAGGCTGGACAGAGATGATATGGGTTGGAATTAGACCTCTTCCTCCCATTCTAGGTGGCAGGTTCTGTCTGGTACAGGTGTCTGATTGGCCCTGTCACTGAGGTCACCTAGCTCCCTGTGCTCCTGGAGGCCCAGGGTTGTAGCTTCAGGACAGTGGACAGTACTCGGAGGGCTTGGTGTAGGTGACAGGGCCTTAGTGACTTGACCACAGGTGGGTCAGCTCTTCTTGGAAACACAGCTTGCAGCTCCAGCGGACACTAGCTTTGAGTGATGATGTCACTAGCTTTGTCCCCTTTTTTGTTCCCCAGCTCAGATCGCAGCTGGGCTACTTGACAAACCTCACCTCGGGAGATCTTTCCTCTCTGTTTCTTCATATCCTCGTCCTTAAATTTCTTCAGAGAAGAGCTGTTAAAAGCATTTACTCATTCATTCCGTTGACTAACATTCGTTTTGGACTTTCACTGGGCGTGGACTGGTTCCTCCTGTGTCTTGTCATCTTACGATAAAGATTCGTCTTGCCTGTTTTTCGGAAAGCTGTAGGCCTTTGGCTGAGGATAATGCCTTGGTTAGGAATTCTGTTGCTGTGATGAAACACCGTAACCACATGCAACTTTGGGAGGGAAGGTTTATGATCTCAGAGCTTGCGCCCACCATCCAGGGGAGTCAGGGTCATGGTGTGCCCAGTTGGGAAGCAGAGCGCTATGAATGCTGGGTGGCACTCAGCTCTCGTTCTCCTTTTTATCCTGCCGTGGACCCACATGGCGGTGACAACCACAGAGCAGTCTTTCCCTCCTTAGCCTAACTTAGAAACTTCCTTGTAGACATGAGCAGGTTTGTCCTGTCAGTGAGTCTAGAACCTGTCGGTATGAACCATCACAAGGATGTGAAAAGCTTCGGTCTCCAGTGGGTATTGCAATTCTAGTGCATTTAATCCTTCATTGTGGAAACAATTCCAGAGTGTATGTATGGCAGATACCACAGTAGATACTGTCACATAAACTCACATTTATAATAACTCTATCAAATTAGTACGTCACTTTACAGATGAGCCTAGGGAAACTGGGAAGCTCACAAGCTGTTCCAGTAGATGTAGTCACTGTCAGGCCCACCTTAAGACACAGGTCGCCAGACCTCAGAACGTGGCATGTCCCTTCACGTGAAGAAGTGCCAGTGGGTCCTACACACTAGGATCCTTTATTCCCAAAAGCTGTTTGTTCCTCTTGGTAACTGATGGAGGCCAGGTGCATCCCTGATCCCTAGACCTGTCACAGACCCCAGCGGGTCACATGGCTACGTCTCTAAATGCTTTCTCTTCTCGCGTACCATAGGAAGGATACTTAACGAACCTGAGAAGCCTCTGGGAAGATTACCCACATGTGTACCTCTCGTGAGTATTTTGTGTGACTCACTAAGGCCACTGAGGACCAGGTCATGACCTGACCTGTCGAGCATGGGGTTGTAGGCAGTAGTGTGTCTTCGAGAATCTCCGCTTGAGGCATCATCTGTATTAGCTCCAGCCATAGAGGTTCCCAGTCTGCTTGCAACAGATGCAGGCAGAACTCCCCATCAGGGTCTCTGGCTTTGTGTCTTACTGGAGACCCCAGAAGTTCAAACATCTTCCATATTCCTTTTCCTGTTTGTGATGCTGCCAAGACCTGGGACTGTGTCTCTCTGGAGGCCACCCTGTGTCCCTAAGGGATCTCAGAGCAGCAATAGCAAAGGGTGTGGAGCTTTGAAACCTAGAGCCTCTCTATTGTTGCATTCAGTGGTTGCCATGACCACACCCTGCTGTCATCAGCTGCCTCCTCGGCTTTTCCTTTTCTGGGCTGAGAAAATGAGTGTGACCACTACTGCTTCCTCCCATGCACGGACCTTGTCCTTTGAGTGGTCTTATACGGGTGCTGTGGGTACGGTGGTCTCTGCCTCCCTCCCTCCCCCCCCCCCCCCCCCCCCCCCCCCCCCGTCCCTCCCTCCTTCCCTCCTTCCCTCACTTGCTCCTGGTCCTGCTGGTTACCGACAACCTTGGCTTAGGCCTTTCCTCCTGTTCTGGGCAAGTACTCTGGGGGTGTTCTCGGTCCCACTCGTGTTGTTTAACTCCCTGGTCTCCAGCTTCCAGGTGAAGTTTTTCTACTTGTGTCAGTTGGCCTACTGGCTGCATTCGCTACCTGAACTTTACTTCCAGAAGGTACGGAAGGTGAGTACTCCCTTCTCCTGTCCCCCACCCCCAGACTCCTCTTCCCCTCAGCCCTCCTGTTGTTTCTGGTGACCTCTGTCCCCCACTTTGGAGACCCCTCTTCCCCGCAGCCCTCCTGTTGTTCCCAGTGACCTCTCCTTTCTCTTCTTCTGGAGGCATGGTGGGTTGGCTCATGATGGAGTCAGCTCTTGTGATATTTCCACACCAACCCCCAAGAGAGAAGCGTCACTCTCTGGGCTCCTCCACCAGATGTGTGACCATTGGCAAAATCTAATCTAATCTAGATACTGAACGGGGGAGAAGATCTTGCCATCCCCAGTCCTTCTTGTTGTTTTCCTCAGAGTAATGCTAAAAACTCTCTTCCAGTTCCCGTGTCTTCCTTCCCAGCCCGGACCTGCTGTCTGGCTCTAGGCTCTACACAGCTGGCCCACCCTCTTGTCACTAGCCCAGGGTATGGGGTGACTGTGCGGGTAGGGAGACCTGGCCCTGTCTTGTTCCCCTTACACATCCCTCGGTCCTCTGCATATTCCTTTAGAGAATGACCATGCTCACTGTCTGCCCGTCTCTTTTCCAGGAAGAAATCCCCCGCCAGCTGCAGTACATTAGCCTGTACCTGCTTCACATTGCTGGGGCATACCTCTTAAAGTGAGTGAGAGCGGAGCCAGCCCCAGTTCCTTGACCTTCAGTGCCCCTGTGTCTGTCCATGCGGTCTCCAGCTAGCAGGCATTTGGTAGATACCAACTGTTGAAGGAGTACCATGCTGAGGCTTGGGAATACAGCATGTGGAGAAGGCTTCTCTTATCTCCAGTGCTTCGTTCTTCACCTGGTCAGAAGGGAAGACAGTTGTGATGAGCTCTGAGATGCTTGGCGTCAGGAGCCGTCAGAGCCCAGCGCAGTCAGCCTCCTCAGTCTGAGGCAGAGCCGAGGAAGACTTCCAGCCGAGCTGTCCTTTGAACTATGCCTTTGCAGCCACCAACTGGGCTCCTGCCACATGGCGTCCAAATGCTGCTGGAGCATATAGGCCTAGAGTTCATCTCAGTTTGGCTCGTAATGAAATAAAGAGCAGCTGACTGTATGGTTGTCCTAAAAGTGGGGAAGAGTTTCTGTGTTAGACCTTGAGTATCGCTTTTATGAATAGTACCTTGATGAATGAGCTATGCCATTGGTAACTGGGCTTTCCATGTAGGAGTAGAACCCGAACTTTGTGTAGACTAGCCTTTGAGAGCTTCACTGTGGTGCGCAGATGTCCTGGGGCCCTGGTTCTGAGGAACTCACAACAGGCTTCCTGTGAGAATGACTGACGTGTGTTTACATATGTGTGTGCGTGCGTGTGTGCCTGTGTATGTTTTGGAATCCACCAGATCTCAAGCTTTGGCTTCCTGTCTCTGGACGCCAAGAACCATGGCAGCTGTTCCAGCTGTGCTCCTACTTTGGGTGCTCACAGCTCACAGGCAGAGGGGTTATGGTCACTGGTTTGCTCCCCAGCTGTGTGTATTGAGCCATACAGGGGGGAGAGCTTCCTGCTGCCTCAGATAGTAGGAAGTCAGACAGCAGGAATTCTTCATATATGTACCCACAGAGCTCAGCAGCCTTCTTCGGGGTCCCCTTTTGTGTGTGATTCTGGCAGACTGAGAACGGAGGGTGCAAGATACCGTGACATGTATGAGTCAGGTTCTTTGTGGGAACAAGTAAGGGTAGCTGACCTAGAAAAAACCAGGTCAGAGGCTGGGAAGTCTGTCTAGGGAAAGTACCTGAAGGTTTAGCAGCTCGACTGTCAAAAAAGATAAGGTATAGTCCGCATGCCCCTCCAAGAAGTGGAAAACAGAATCCAGGCACAGGGAGCAGCCTGAGCCACCACAGGCTTCTGCTCTCGGGCATCTTGCAGCGAAAGTAAGGCTTGTCTTTCTTCCCAGCTTGAGCCGCCTGGGCCTCATCTTGCTGCTGCTGCAGTACTCAACGGAGTTCCTCTTCCACATGGCTCGACTCTTCTACTTCGCAGATGAGAACAACGAGAGGCTGTAAGTGGGGTGCTGGTTGCCGGCCTGTCTAGAGACCTCTGGGGTGTAAGTGGGGTGCTGGGTGCTGGCCTGTCTAGAGACCTTTGGGGTGGCACCTACGCATCTCCCGAGGTCTGGATGGTTGGAGGTTTTTGCTTTGGGTGTCAGCTGCCCCCTTAGTGCAAGCAGCACCCTATGCTTATTCATGTATTAGAACGTCTGGAAATCTCTCCTGGGTCCTGTCTGATTCCCTGTCCCACTCTGGGTTGATTCTGGAGAAGGGGTTGAAGGTTCCTTGAGGGGCTCTCAAAGCTGACACTCCTTTTCTGCCCCTGTGAGCAGGTTTAACGCCTGGGCTGCTGTGTTTGGGGTCACACGCCTCTCCATCCTCACTCTCGCCGTGTTGGCCATTGGCTTTGGATTGGCTCGGGTGGAAAACCAGGTGTTCGACCCTGAGAAAGGGAACTTTAACACCTTGCCTTGCAGGTGAGTTGGCAGAAGCCTGAGGTGGGGAATCGAGGCTCTCTGAGCACGGCCAGGCACCTCTTTAACATGACACATCTTCCCAGGTGGTCAGGGAGGAGGGAGGAGGAGACCCTTGAGGCTCCCACACAGTGACACTTAGGAGCAAGTCTGTTGACATCAGTCTCCTGCTTCCATCAAACATGTTTCTCAGCTTCACTGGGCTCAGACCGCAGTGAGGACCCATGCAGTACGGACCCCTCATCCCCGCTCAGCACATCACTGTGCAGAAGACGTTTCTCGCCCAGGCTAGGTTGATCTTGACACCCTCATGAGACTTTGGAGCGTTGTCCTCTGTGTCTTGCTCTGTGGCCTTCCCTAGCGTCAAGGAAAACAACCAGAAAGCTATGTGGTCCATGAAGCTATAGGCATTGGAGCGCAGGCAGTCTGTCTAGGGTTGTTCCACTGTCACTTGACATGCTAGAAGAGAATTATTCGGTACTCTCATAATTTAGTTCACTTGAATGTTATTAATATAACGTTACAATATTAGTATAGCTTATATTGCTCTGCCTGTGGGCCATGCACACGGGATAGATACAGCCGTGGATCTGTAGGATGAGTGTGACCGTGGGGGGTGAGTGTGTAACTGGCACCATCTCCCTCCCATCCCCTTGGGGCCTTCACCTCCCATTGCTGAAGCTGTAATGGAGAGAAACTGAAGCACTCAGCCTTCCTGGTGCTAGCGGCTGTGCTGAGGATGGGCCACAGGAGCTACAGAGATCTGGCCCGGCAGCCCCTACACCTCCTTCCTCACCCTCGGATCCTTCTCTCCCTGTCTGCAGGCTCGGCATGCTGCTGCTGGTGTGTGTTGCCCAGGCCTGGCTCATGTGGCGCTTCATCCACTCGCAGCTGCGGCACTGGCGGGAATACTGGAAGGAACAGAGCGCTAAGCGCAGAGTCCCAGCTGCCTCCAGGCTTCCAGCCAGGCCCATCAAGAGGGAACCTGGTGAGTGCCAGGGCTGTGGCCGAGAGCCAGTGGGCGGGGTCTGTCTGCGATGGGTGAAGTAGAGTTGGGACCTGGCTCTTAGGTACTCCACAGACCGGTACTTCTGGGCTCCTCCTTCTAGATACTTCTCTCAGGCCTTGGGCTCGATGACCAGCATGTGGCTGGGCATGAGCCAGAGACCCAGTATGATCGGGCTGGCCACAACAGGGCCTTGATCCCTGGCCACTATGCTTCAGGGCAGCAGTGGGTGGGGACTTCTGGAAGGAAGTATGTCCTCTGGGTGGCTTCTGGCAGCCAGTCAGGTTCTGCTGCTGTTGCAGTTGGTGTCACCCATGCCCTGTGCTACACGGTGGCTGTGTCCTCACCTGCCCTTTTGCCCTACATCTCAGCCCACCCCTGCCTCCAAGGCTGTTAGCTTCCCATCTCTCTTCAGGAGTGGCTCATAGTGACGCAGTGTTAGGGATAAGCGGCAGGGATGGGACACCCCCATCTCCTTTGACTCTTGAGCCTTCTTGAGTGATCCCCTATACCCAGAGGCCCTCAGACATCCCAGCCCTAATCTCCTGCCCAGCCTGGGGGCCCATCTGCATGCCTGGTTTCTGACTCACCTGCAGTTTTCCAGGCAGCTGCCTGCCTGGCAAGAGCTCCTGTGTTTGTATGCCGCTTGGGTGTGAGGAGGCCTGAGGGAAAGGGGTTGGGAGGAGGGTTTTCTGTGCGGCTGCAACTCAGTGAGTTTGTGGAGATGCTTTTTTTTCCCCTCAATAAAGCCTTGCACAGTTCCACAAAAGGAGTGTCAGGCTTGGTCCCTGAAGCAACTTGTTCCCCATCTCTCCTCTTTGTCACCAGTTGGTCCTCTGCGGGGCTGAGGGATTGAGGACATTAGAGGTGCAAGCCAGCATTGCTCAGATGTCAGCGTAGGTTGCTTCTTGTTTTTTTTTTTTTGTTTGTTTCTGTGTGTCACCCCAGATGCTCTCCACTAAAAGATAGTCAAAGACCAAAAACCTGAGGCAAAGGCACTTATCAAAGGCACTAGGGCAGGCAGCAACCCTCCCTGGACTGTCTGCTGGCTTCCTTTGGTACAGCCGGGTTCCTCACTGGGTGATCTACGCTCAACAAGGCCATGTCCCCAACCATCAGACACTCCCACCTTCCACGCCTCCATTTTCCGGCCCCAGTCTTAGCAGGGCCTTCACGTGGTCTCTCTCCGCTCCCAGGTTACCATGAAAACGGTGTGGTGAAAGCAGAGAATGGAACCTCCCCACGGACTAAGAAACTCAAGTCTCCCTAAGGCCAAAGTGCTGAGAACGGGATCCACTGGTTGAGGGCCCAGCGGGAGGTGAGAAGCACTGACTCCAGCTCTGCCTCTCCGTCCTCCTCGCCGTGCTCCGTCTCCATCAGCAGAAACCTTGGCGTCACGGGGGGGGGGGGGGGGGGTAGCTCTTGACCTTCTTGGCTTTCTCTTCTTCCACAAACCATTTTCAATAAAGCCAAAAATCTTCCTCTCTTGCTCCCTTGAGCCACCTCCTGGCCTCACCTCTGTCCTGTTTTGGGTCTTCTCAGAGGCCTAGATTTTCCTACATGTCTTTCTCGCTCACCTCTTTCTCTTCCTTCACGGCTGTTTCTCTTTCTCCTCACTTCCTGACTTCAATGTGCAATTCCTCTGATTTTTTTTTTTTTTTTTACAATGAGAGGGAGCTAAGATGGCAGCGGTCCTGTCCGTCAGTCCCAGGACCTGTCTATCTGGAAGCCCCTTGCCAAGGAGCTTCCCTCAGAGCTGGTGGCAGATCCTCAGTGGCCTTTGTGTGGATGGGCAGGAGAGAGAAAGGTCATCCCTCTTGGATCACAACATTCTTGGTGCTGACTGACTGACAAGATGTAGGATTCTGGTTCTACACGTCCCATCCCCAAGTGGTTTGCTTTGGGACACAGTGACTTTATCCAGAAAGACAGTGTTAATTAACTTTTGAGTCCCAGGACTCCAAAGAACTTCCAGTGCTGCATTTGAGTTGGAAACCAGCCTGCCTTCACTCTGGGGGGATTGTGCTAAGAACATGCCTTCTTCCCACTTCTACCGCAAGAGCAAAGCATGGCAGACGGCGGCCTCTCCTGGAAAGGTGGCTTGGCGAGGACAAAAGAGTCCGTCTGGACCTTTCTCCAGCTGTGCCAGCAGCTGGACTTCCTTAACCCGCCCACCAGCATCCAAAACCAAAACAAACAGCAGTTACAAACCTGCCCAAGATACGCCGCTCCCAAGTCCAGAAGCAGCCTGCCCATATGGGACTGGATATGCATCTAAGACTTCATCTCCCGACCTGCAGAAACGTGAAGCCTCAAGGCCTCCAGTCCTGTGTGGACCCCTGGTGTCCCCAGGAGGGTCACCTGGCCACCCTTCCTCTGGCTGCACCTGAGTGTTCTTTAAAATTGTGTCCTTTGCTGACATTGTCGAGCACACCTAGAGCATGGTGATGGGGCAGTGTCTCAGGGTCACTCTTCCGGCTGTGTGAGCAGACACAGTCCTGTCCACAGGAGTCTTCTTCTGACGTCATAGTAGAGACCAGAGCTTGAATTTTTGCCCATAAACAGGGAGATGGGTCTTCATCAAGGCAGCTTCCTCTCTCCAAGTCTCTAACAACGTGTGTAAAGTGTAACTTACCAGTATTTGAGGAATTTGATTCCAAACATCACTGTAGCATTCTTTTCCCCTCTGTGTCCAGGATAAGCATACAGAATAGGGATAAGATTCTCTTGGCTTCTTCTGGGTGCACGTAGGAAGCAAGGCAGAATTTTGAAAGTACATTTCTGCATTCTCTCTCTCTCTCTCTCCTTCCCGGGCTCTTGGCAGCCCTCACAGAGTTGGTCTGGCACTTTTTAGCCAGTGTAGCCCAATATTCTGGTTGTGATTTTAATTGAGCTCATGCTTGTGAAACTGCCTAGAGCTGTGTGGAGGTTCAGCCAGCGGTTCCCAAATCCACCTCACGCCGTTAGTCTAGGTGTCCTCCCGGACCCTCCCCCAGGCTATGGCACTGGCAGGCCATTACCAGCTATTGGCAACAGTTTTGTCGCCAGGCTGGGCTGTTGATACTTGTGACAAGCATGTGATATGTAGAGGTCTTGCAGAAAGAGGTACAGAGAGCAGGTGACATTCTGGATCCAGCAGCCTCGTCACTGTGTGTGGGTTTCTGTTATTCTCTCCCGGGACACTTGGAGGCCTGACATGATGTGGCTTCATTCCTTAAATGTCTTGCAAGCTTCCCGTGTTGCTAGTCTGTGGGATGTATTAACAGGGACCCAATATCTGGATTGATGTAGGCTCTTCTAGAACATAAGAATTTGGTCAATGGTAGGAGTTAGGATAGTGTTCATTTCCAGAGAAAAGGCCCGAGTCCAACGGCCATACCTCACCAGCCTCGACTTCAGGGATGTTTGTTGGCTTAGGAAAACGACAGGCTACTTTCTCATCCACCCAGGCTCTCTGGAATCGGTGTTGTAGGAAAGCTAAGACTTTGGTAAGTTGTCACAAATCATATTGCCAGAATTCCAGTAACCAAGTTCCACATCATCCTGTAAGCATGCAGGCTAGCTTGTACTAATTTGAGCACCGTGGCCTCATTCTTCGTTCTTACCAAGTCTCTCCTGTCCCCAAAGTGCCACAACCCTAGTGAAGGACCTGCCACACTCCTCTATTCTAAGATGCTCGGCAGCATCCTCCAAGACCAGAAGATGCTCTTCTCTACCTCAGCAGCCATTGCCTGTTTCTCAGCATCCCTGGGATGCCAGCAGGCGGGAGTGGCAGGAGTGGTGGATGGTGAAGTCCCTGCTGCCAGTTGCCCTCCTCAGAGGATTGATGATGGGACGTTTATTTTTACAAGTTGTCCAGGCATGGGTGCCTACACTATGAGTAAGCTCTGTGTGCTCCTCCTACAGCCCAGTGGTTCTGGAGGTTGTGGGAGAGCAGCAGACTAAAGCTAGAAAGGGAGGCTCTCTGCCAGTGCAGTTAGTCCTATCCCTGTGTGCCTAGATGGTTATGGCTAGCACCACCTAACCTGTCTAAGGGTGACCTTAAATCACTTAAATTTAGATGCCTGTGCCCTGGCTATGGACACCATGCTTTTGTGGAATACCTGGGACCGTGTGAGCCCATGAAGGTAGATGCCTCCTCCTTTGTCCCCTTTGGCATTTTTCCTGAGTAGTTAAAAAGGGGCGTGGGGAGCAGAAAGAGTGCATTCTCCAAAAAACGTCTACAATGTTCATGTAAATTCCCTACATCCTTAAAGAAATCCACTGACTCTTTCAGCTAGGGAAGGCCTTTGTATGTGTTTTTTTGATGGGCTTCAGCCTTCCCAGCTGGGTTTGCAGAAGTCCGGCATGGGAGAAAGTAGAGGGTCTAGGTACAGCTAACCTTCTCTGCTTACAGGCCTCCGAGTCTCTAGCAGACAAATTTACATTCTTGATCTCTGCCCTCTGTGCTTCACTGGTGTAGAATGGACTTAAGTAAGGCCTGTGGGTCAGGACAGTGGGATGGTCGTCTCCCTTGCACGACCTCCTGAGCTTGCAGCTTCTTTCCTCAAAAGAGGGGCAATATTAATGTCAGAGTTGGAAATACCCATAGGCTCCCTCTCCGGCCTTCCGGTAGCATTAGGAGGACGCTTTCACCAGCCTCTCACCCTTCACCCTGTTGCACATGCGGACATTACTTTCATTGCGCATCTTTCGAAGCTCCGCAGATGAGAGGCCAAGTCCTACCGAGCAGCCTCTGTAAACTCTGTTCTTGTTCTTGTCCTCAGCAGGTCCCTGTTCTTTTGTGTAAAAAGTGCCTTATAATGCCTTGTGGCCTTCACTGGTACTGTATGGCCAGCCCCCAACTGCCAGGGCTCTAGGGCTGACTGTCACATGCAGCCAATGACACCATACCTCAGCATGGCTCCAGGTAAAAGGGACATGGGTTGACAGTTTTGACCCTCTTCTCCTCACACACAGATCTCGTGTGTTCTCTTTGTCTCAAGCGTCCCCTTGTCTGTTGCCCTTGGGGTTGGCTGGTGGCTGTGGAAGCTTGGTAGATGGCCCCACTGCAGGCGCCCATGTAATAAGGAAAGCTTGGAGGTTGGGGAGAAGGTCACTTTGTACCTCCACGGCACGCCCCGCTCCTCTGGTCCTCTCACTGCCACCCCAGACTAGATACAGCATCCTCCTCCCAGCTGTTGTTCTTCCATGTCACCCCAAGCTTGTATAAGGAATGCATTCACTTGGACTTCTGGGTCCAAGTCTTAGCTCATCGGAAACTTGCTTGGAAACAAACTACCTATGGTCTGGTAGCTGCCAAGCTCCTGGTTTCCTGTCAGGGTTACCTTGTGTTCCTAGCACCAGCCCCCTCCCTGACCCTTGCCTACCTGTCTACCTGTTCCCAGTCCTCTTCCGGGTTGTGCAATAACCCTCCCAACCAGTGGTCTTTCCCACAGGCCTTCGTCCCTTGCTGTATTGGGCAGAGTGGGAGAGAGAGGACCCATGGGAGGGGTAGTCGTCATCCCTTGTACCAGAGTCAGCCTCCTCCCTTGTCGCTGTCATTCTCGTGGTCCGGGTGGGTTGCTGTGGCAGTCTTCTAGAATGTGTAGCATTGTCTTAGAGATCCTTATTTTTTTTTTTTAAATGTGTTGAAAGGAAAAACAAAATCCTCAGGCTGGGACATTATCCCTGTCTGGGAATAGGGTCCGCTCTGGTGTTGCCAGCATCACCCTCACCACGGAAGGCATTCCAGAGTTTTTGTCCCTGTGGGGAGGATGGAGATTATATCCAAGAATCAGCCACAGTGGTGAGCGCTGCCCCCCACCCTCCCACCCAGGACCTGGCTGTGACCGTGAGTGCTGTCCTTCTTTGGGGCACAGATTGGCGTGTGAGGAAACCTCACTTTTCAGTTACCCTGTTTAACAAAACACCTGGAGGATGAGAAGAGGAGCTGGTGCCCTGGGCAACGCAGAATGCAAGTGTGGACACATGGACTGTTTCTCTACGTTAACCTGTTCGTGTTATGGACCAAATTCAACAAGGAACTCAAGGAAAATGTGTAACTGAGTATTTATGCTTTCGTATAAAACAGTTGGGGGGAGGGGTGTCTTTTTACTTTTGGTGAATTTTTTTTTTCAAAGTCCTTTTTGCGCTGTTTCTCTCTGGTTTTTGGAAACAAGCTACAGTTTTGTATGGATTTTTTAAAATGTAATTTTGGAACAAATGATCAAATATTTTCTGAAATACCTGAATAAAGAGCATAGAATTATTGGTCATAACCATTTCTGGTAGAACTCACTGGTGTGGTTTTATGGATAAATATTATTTAGTCTTTATTCTTCCATTTGTTTTCACTTTGGAAAAACACGCATTCATGTAAACTGTAACTGTTGTGTCTAAAATGGTTCACTGTGTCGTAACTGGGTTAGCATGTATCATTTTTATCTCATCTGTAACAGTGAGTTCGAAAAGGGGATTTCCTAACAGGTTTTGTAAGTTGGATGTCCCCTCCTTCAGGTAGTCCTCCATGCTCTTACTACTCTCCAGCAATGTCACGCAGCTTGAAGGAGATGTAGGTCTTGGTCTCTGTGAATGCAATGTCCCAGTTTGGTAAGAAGGGCAGCAATAGGGTGGCTGGTGTGGCGTAAATGCCCTGCTATTGCATGCAGCTGTGGCTGCATTTTCCAGAACCATCCTTGGGGAGTGTGCTCAGGAGGTGGGTGCAGTTGCCGGTGGTAGCTAGCCAAGGGAACCCACAGGGGTAAACACCACCCAGAGACTTCCTTGAGGTGAGTGGGACTGATGGCAGCAAGCTCTGGTGCAGATGGTTCCCATCCTGCTCCCATGTGGCACGCCGGGCAACATCCGGCGGTGAGCTAAGGTAAGCTAGCCCGTTTCTCATCTGTGTCCCGCCAGTTTTGTTTCCCAGGGTTTGGCGGCGACAACAGCGTTGAGTTCATGGTACACATAAAACTATATATCATTTATTTTTGAGACAGGCTGGGCTGTTGCTGGTTTCCTAGCCCAGGTTGGCCTCAAACTCCTGGCAATCCAGCCTCTGCCACCTAAAAGCTTGGATCACAGGTATGTGCCACCGTGCCCACTTTTAAACTGGCTGATTTGTTTTTGTTTTTGAGCCCGGGTCTTACAGTATAGTTCTGGCTTGCCTCCACTGCATTGCAGACTAGGTTGGCCTGGGACATAAGCAGTCTTCCAGCCCGAATGCTGGGATTGCAGGTGTGCGTGCCCTTACCTGGATAAACTGATGTTAATAAACGTGCTTGTGCTTGTGCGCCAACAGGATATTAAAAAAAATCACATACCCGGGAGCCCTTGGAAACAATATTTAGAGAACCTCTTCTTCGCCTGCTTGTCCTGAACATACTGAAGCTTTGTAGACACAAAGGGAATCCCCTTAATCACAACAGTATGTTCAAGGCCCCCTCGTGGTGTATTTGGGGGACATACCCTGGACTGAACAGTGGCCCACCACCAATGAACTATCCTTATGAGCCTTGAACACATCCTTCAGTTAAATCTGATGGACGTGGCTACCAGTGCGCTGCCCCTGCAGACGGTAACTGGCCATGCTGTGGCGTATTTGAAGGGGTGGTCATCTCTCAGTGGTGCTCACTACAGTTATCACTGAGCTGTCATCCATCACCTGAGCCCAGGGCTCAAGATGCATGCCAGTTGCGACAGTATCATATGGTACTTAGTGGCACCTTGTGGCCGCAGGCCTCTTCAGGGTCTCAGAAGTGATCTGCTCTGATTGTGTAGTGGACAGTGTGTGTGCTACTTCCACAGGCATTCCCGTCAGCTCCGGTCTTCTGTGAGATACCTCTCAGACCTCGTCGGGATATTTGTTATCAGGTCTGCTCAGTCTTGGGTCAGTTTGAAAGATGCGAGATGAGGCATGGGAAACAAGCTTACAGAATGAGTGTGCCAGCCTTACGTAAGACCAATGTCTCTTGGGACTACAGTGGGCAATGGTAAGCGCTATCTGTACGGTATCTCATGGAAAAGAAAAGAAATAAGTGGATAGAACTGAGATTGAAGGGGGTGGTGGTTTGAATAGGAATGGCCCCCATAGGCTCATGTATTTGCATACTTACTTGGTCATTAGGGAATAGTGCTACTTGAGAGGGATTAGGAGGTGTGGCCTTGTCCAAGTGGGTGTGGCCCAATTGGAGGAAGCATGTCACTGGGGGTGGGTTTTAGGGTTTTAAAAGCCCACTCTTCTCTTTTCCTGTTGTCTGTGGATCCAGAGGTAGAACCCTCAGCTCCTTCTCCAGCACCAAGTCTGTGTGCATGCCACCATATCCCACCATGATGATAATGGACGAAACCTCTGAAACTGTAAGCCAGCCCCAATTAAATGCTTTCCTTTGTAAGAGTCCCCATGATCACGGTGTCTCTCACTGCAACAGAACACCCCTGACTAAGACAGGGATGAAGGTGCTTAAACTTCAAAGGGGAGGGAGAAGATCTAAAAGAGATGGCCTCTATTTCAGCAAAAAGCCCAAAGCCAGTGGGAAAAGAATAAGAAGGGTTTCCGTATGCTACCGGCTGGACACATATGTGAAAGATAGCCAAGGAGCAGGCCATTGCTTCTGTAGGCTTCCCCCTTCCACGGAAGGCAGGGATGGCTGGGAATGATAGACGGTATGAATTTCTCAGGGGGCTTTCAGAATGCCGAGGGTACCATCACTCAACTCGCCCAAGTTTCAACTCTTGAAAAACATCTAGTGTACGTGCACATATTTGAGGGGGTGCATGCCATGGGGAGCATATGGGGATCAGAGGACAACTGTGCTCAAGTCATTCCTTGTCTTCTACTTTGAGGTGGAGCCTCTCGGTTGCCATTGCACTGGGCAATCTAGGATAGCTGGCCTGTGACTTTCCTGGGGACACTCCCGTCTCCGCATCTCATATCACCGAAGAAGTGCTGGGATTACAGATGCATGGACTGCGACGGCTCTTACTTGGGGGCCATGGATTTGAACTCAGGCCATGGACTGCGACGGCTCTTACTTGGGGGCCATGGATTTGAACTCAAGCCATCAGAATTTCACTGCTAGCACTTTCGCCCACAGGGCCATCTCCCTGGCTCAGTCCTCTGGAATCTAGAAAGCGTATTTGGGGTGGCTGATTCTTAAAATAAGTCCAAGGAAAAGGAATTGACCTCCCTAACTATAGTGCCTACCCTAGAGGGGCATAGTACCCTGAGGTGACCCCCGCCAAGAGACCCTTCTGAGGAAGGAAAGGAGCCTAGGGAGTGTGTCCTTAGAGCTCAGTAGTTGGGGACAGGGATCATGCACAGGATTTCTTTGAAAAATGACCTAAGAGCTCCCTCAAGAAAAGTGCCCTGTGAGTGAGAATAAGCCCGTCTTTGGCACATGTCACTTAGCCAGCCCTGGCTACAAATGATATTACTAACCAATGAGAGAAATGCTATGTGCTTTTCCAGCTTTCTGGATATTCTTAGCTATTCCAAAGCTGAGAGAAGGGATGCAGCAGCCAGAGGAGGACTCTACTTGTCTGGCACACTCTGTACTGAAGGCTCCCAGGCCTGGGGCAGAACTGGATGGAGCAAACCGGATAAAGCTTGGCTAATTTAGACTAAAACAGATTTTCTAAAGCACTGAGAAATAAAACTTCAGACAGCTAGAAATGATGGGAGGAAACGAACCTGGTTTCTTCCCGAGATAGCCTAGAACTGAAAGGAACCCTTTGGACAAGCTACTTCGATGTGTCTTAATGCCTTGCAAAAGGCAAAACCAGGGAGCCCCTCCCTCAGCCCCGGTAATTCTGAGAGGACCTGGGCGTTCTGGTCCTGTATGACTTCATCCTCACTGTTGCATGTTTTGGGTGACAGGGAAGAATCTGGCATGGCTGATTCATAGAAGAACATCGATGGCTGTCAATCTGAGCTCATTGGAGAGCCTGAAAGTGTGACTAGTCTTGCCCTGCTCCTCTTCTAGGTGACACTCTCTAAAAGGAATTCTTTCCTAGAGATATTTACATTGTATCCCAGTAAACACACAGATTTTATGAAAATAGGCGCCCTACTATGTACACCGCACTATTCTCTATTCCATTTTTGTAAACTTTGTTTTTGATGGTATTGTTGGTTCTTGTATGTACTATGAAAGTATTCTCCCCCTGAGCCAGACCTCAGGCCCCCAGTTTTTACTCTACTGATGGACTTAGAATTACACTCTGAAAAGCATGTCATATATTTCCCTACGACATGGAGGGAAGCTGATGGGTGGGGAGAGAGGCCCTTGGCCAGCAGCGACAGCGCTGCTGTGAACCTTATTTTCGATGTTCCAGATGTTTCCAGAGAAGTCTACCATCCCTTCTGTTCTTCATCCTTCTACGTCCATATTAAGCTTCCCAAAGAATCAGAAAACTAATTGTGTGTGCTGTGGTGTGGTATGAGGTAGTGTATGTGCTTGTGTGGGCTGAGTCTGCAAGCTGAACCTAGCTCTGGGTCCGGCTCCAGTCTGTTGGCCGCACACTTAGTACACAACAGGTTTGCATCTGAGGACCAGAGAAGGCTGTGTGGCAGTTTAAAGGCAGCCAGGCAGGGGGATTCTCTTACTCAGGGGTGGGTCAGTTTGTGTTTCAGGCTTGCAAATTACTGCTGAGGGTCTGCTTACTCTGAAGTTTATTTTACTAGTCTACCAATTCAGATGTTAGCCTCATCCCAAGCACCGATAGAGACATATTCAGGATACTGTTTGGCGAATCCTAGAACCCCCTGGACCCCATAAGCTAAAACTACCATGGTACCTCTGCCACTCCAAGGCACCGGTCTTCCATTCTTTGATAAATGAATTTATTTTAGACTTCAGCAATAGTGAAATAGAAGAGCCAAAACCGAGTGACGTGAATACTTGTATGATAAATACAAAGTAGGTTTCTTGACATCAGCTCAGTGTCAAAGATTTATATCGCATTCTCTCATTCAGGTCAGTTGGAGAAAGCTCGAACAAAGTTATAGTAGTTAATCCTGCCTTCTCCTTGGGTGCACATCCTGATTAACTGCAAGGGAACAAAGAGGGCAGGTGAGGCAGGGCTCCCTTCAGCTTAACTGCGGAGCACACTTACGTATAAAGAGCCCCAGTTTTTGCCAACCCAAACAAAGTTCAGCCTTTATATCTTAGCTGACTCAGAATAATCCTGTGATCCTGGAAGGCAGGTCAGGCATTGAGCCGCACAGTATACATTGTGAAAGCACAGCAGGAATATCCATATTTATAAGGGTGTTGGTATCACAGTGCTTTCCTTTTTTATCTTCTGAGGCAGCACCTCACTTTGTAGCCTCCATTGACCTTGAACTCATGATCCTCCAGCACACCCAGCTTCAAAATGCTTTTATTGCTATATTCCATGTATTAATATTTTCCCCCTTCCCAACTAAACACTCCTAAACAACAGCCGACTGCTATTACAGCCTAGTAGAAGTATCTAGTTATATCACCGCTTGAACTGTCCCCGGGAGTCAACAGTGATTGGCTGCGGGTGTCTGTGCATCATGCAGATCTGCCCTCCTTGCCCCACTTCCCAATGGCTACAGCTCCTCTCCCATGTCTGCTCCCATGTCTCCCAGTACAAATGACTTGAACATTAAAAAGTGAATTAGCCATGCTGTCAATCAAAGACTTCCAGAGCTAACTGGGTATTTGGCCCACATGAATCTGACCTTTCGTACGCCTTGATAACATTCTGTCTCCAGAGACCAAACATTTAAAGAGACCAAACAAAACCCTCCATCTTAACCTAGTTACTTCAACAAAACCATTTCCTAAATGAACCTTATTTTCCAAACATTTCTCTTGCTTGAAAACCTTCAAGAAGGTCAATAAAGCCCCTGTGTTCGTAGTCAATGAGCATGTCTTGATATTAATCTAGAGTCTTGGTGGGGGAGGGGGGGAATGGATTTTCTTCTGACTTCCAAGGGAGTTCTGGCTAGTGGGATTTGTAATGAATAAATGACACCCTTATTTAACAACCATGAACACTCTTGGAGGAACACTTGCATCCCTTACCCCATCTGTAGGAGTCATGCTATCTTACAGACACTGCTGCCTCAGGCAGTGGTCATATCAGCTTCTATGACAGACCTACTGATGGGCTGGCTTTGAGGGATCTCACAGCCTGTAATATCCGTTCATTAACTTATCTTCCCGTCCCTTCTTGGCAGCTGGTGCCGCGGGATCACTTCTACTACCCTCTAACCCTAACATGTTAGTCTAGCAACTTCTCTGCTGTGGGTTTCCAGCCCCATCTTACGATACATACACCCTGCAGCAACAGCTTGAAAAGGAAGTTGATGCTGCCACATGGGAAATCCCACCCCCGTTCTCAGGACGGGATGGGAGATCTGATTCTTGTAACTCCTTAGGGAGGAATGACCAGCGCTTCGTCTCGGCAGGCAGCCCAAGCCACAGTTCATACTGACCTCTTTAATCAAAGAGTCATTGACTGGGATGTTAAGAGTGTCACAGACTTTAAAGAACGTCTCTTTGTCTACGTATCCAGAACCCTCCTTGTCATATATTTGAAACGTTTCACGGAGGTTATCTTGGCAGGAATGGTCTTTCAGGTGCATCTGGATGGTGTCTATCAGAGTCTCCAGGTCCTGTTCCTTGGGTTCCTCCGTAGCTTGCTGGCTGTAAAGAAAAGGAAGAGAGGAATATATATATATATTCATTCTTGAGCAATCGTACCTCAGTGACCAAGGCTATTAATTGGTGAAATCTGCAAAGCTTTTTTTTTTTTTTTTTTTTTTAAGAAAAGCAAAACAAAAACCAGCCCACTGGCTGTTGCTAGTGGCTGACCACCACATCGTAAGGGCTGATCTAGGACAGTGTTTGAACGGCTTCTTGCCAGCAGTTAAATCACTCCACCACAAAGTGCCCGGTCTCATATTCTGTCACTCCCTATTTGCTATTTGTGGGAATCTCATTGGCCGCTAGCATTGCAGACTAACATTGCCTCATCCAAACCCAAGTGCCTGAGTGCTTAGAAGTTCTGCATGTCGCTATGCAGACAGGAATCTCTCACCCTCCCTTCAATTCTCAGTGAGTTATAAAAGGCCATCAAAGGGAACTTAGAGACTGCTCTAGAGGATGGTCAGGAGTGTAGGCTTTGCATTGTTGAAACCATGGAGAGATCAGCAGCAGAGCGTTAGGAAGAGGGATGTCTGTCCCTTCCCAACAGGACAGTAAGTAGAAGCTCAATTTGTACTTCCTCTGAGTACAAAGCTGGTTCTAAAACTGAGGATGTTGGTGCCAGAGAAGACTCCCTCACATTCCTAAGTCCTTTCAGAACAAAATACATTCAGAAGTTACCCCCACCTCCTGTAAGCATATGTTTCTCAGTGATGAGAAAACAGACTTGAAGATGCTATGACATAGTCCTGATACCCCAACAGAGGCGAGATCAGAACTTGTGTTCCGTCCTGTTCCTAACAATTTCATACCCTAATTCCCTCTCACTGAGCCCCTCCCTCCGTGACTGCGAAACCCTAACTCCCCCAGGCCTTCTCTGCTCTTCTGACAGATAACATTCAGAACCTCACTGAGTAAAACAGCGTGCCTTAGCTCCTGGTTCATTCTGTTTCTTAACCATTCGCTTGTGTGTGGTTGTGCACACATCCAGAAGAAGGCGTCTGGTCCCTCAGAGCCAGAGGGAGATGGTTTCAGGATGCCAGTTGGTTGTGTGCTGAGCCATCTCCCCAGCCCTAGGTTCCACTGTAGCCTGCAGCCGCCATTGTGGGCTCTGAGGCAGGGGAAAGTAGTGTGGTCTCTTAGGGTCTTTTCGGAAAGAAGAAACAAAAATCTAGCAAATATTTTATTTATTTGTTTGTTTGTTTGTTTTGAGGCATAGTCTTACTGTGAAGATCTAGCTGGCCTAAACTGTGTAGTCAAGAATGGGCCTCTAATTCACACTGGGATTGCCTGCCTCTGCCTTCTGAGTGCTGGGATTAAGGGCGTGTGCCACCAATACCAGCTCCTAGCAGTGAATTTCAAACAATATACCCTGAGAAGAGCCATGGACTCTGCGGAAAGACTGTTCTCATCAGCCAAGCTGTCCAAAAGGAGGAAATGTGCTAAATAATTTACACTTTAACCAAGTAATACAGATAATGTGATGTTAGCGAGAGATTTGAGGAACCTAAGTGTGTATAGTATGCTAGCTTTTGTCTAAAACCTACAGAAGTATAAAAAGATATATTTGAAACTTTTTTGTTTAAGGAAACTGCTTTTAAAGGGAAGAGATGCAGCGTGGGAGGCTGGACTCAGCAGCCAAAAGCACTTGTTATTCTTGCAGAAGACTTGGGTTCTGTTTCCAGCGCCCACATGGTGGCTCACAACCACTTGTAACTCCAGTTACAGGGGTTCCATGCCTCTTCCTGGCCTCTTGGGCACCAAGCACCCATGTGATGCACATATATACAGGCAAAACATACTAATGAATATATATTTTAAAATAAATTAAAAAACAGGGCTGGAGAAATGACTTAGCAGTTAAAATTGCATCCTGTTTTGGGGAAGACCTGAATTCAGTCCAGCAGCTCAGAACTGTAACTCTAAGAGTCTAGAAGGACAGTGGTGGCCACACACCTTTAATCCCAGCACTCAGGAGGCAGAGTCAGGCAGATCTCTGAGTTTGAGGCCAGCCTGGTCTACTGAGTGAGTTCCAGGATAGACCCAGGACTGTTACACAGAGAAAACCTGTCGGAAGGAAGGAAAGAAGGGAGAGAAAGAGAGAGAGAGTCCTAGTCAACAGAGGGTAGAAGTACATGACTGTAATGTTTTCTTAAAGCATTTAACTATTGATGCTTCATAAAATGTTCTAAAATATCTGAAATGTTCATGATAGACCACAAAGCCAGTAAATAGCAAGGAGTATTATATTTTATATGTCTGTTAAACAAGCAAGTATTAGAAATAGTTGCCTCTGGGTTATTAGGGTTTTTCCAATAGTTTTGCTTTCTTCACCTTTTATAACCTAAGTTTTGTTCCCTATTGTTTTCCTTGTTGCTCTTGAAACAAAGGCTCACCATGGAGCCCATGCTGGCTCTTAACTCCCAGTCCTTTTGGCGAAGCTTCTACGTGCTGGAACTGTGAGCATGCACTACAGCCCCGGGTTACTCCCTTACATTTTAAGCAGATATTACTTTTATAGCAAGACGAAAGCAATTAAAATGTCACAAAACTCCCTAGCAGAGAAAGGGTCCCATGAATCATCTATTATAGAAGCAGAATATGATTATCTGGTTCACATATACTAAAATGTAAGTGAATAGACAGGGGGCCATCTTAATGACAGGAAGTACCTGAGCCTCCATCTTCCACAGGCTCTCGGGACATAAGGTCTCCTGCCGGCCACTATCTTAATATATATAATTATTTGGGAGAAATACATACCTCTGTCCTCCCTGAAGGACCCAGATACCCACTCCTCTCGATGCAGCAGAGAAAACACCCATGCAGCGTGGAAGGGATGCTGGTAGAGGGCAGTGGGTAGTGGAGCTTAGCTTCCTGCCAAAGCCCCATCTGGATACCTGTGTGGGTTCACGTGTTCCCTAAGGCTGGCTGCTTCTCTGCCTGCTTTTGTCCTTTTTGTTCTTAGATGGCTTTATATGACCCTTTAAAATATTTTGCCTCATTTCTATTTCAAAATTAATTTCTTAAGTTTTTCTGAACATCAGCATATCCTTTAAACATTCTGAAATGATTATTTTCCTAAAACCAGCTTATTTTGTTGTTTCTCAAATGCCCCCTCTTGCAACTGGATTTGCCTGTTATTTATATTTTTTTCATACAAGAATTTAAATTGCTTCAGAAAGTCATTAACTGTTGGGGGAGAAGCTTGGGTTTTCTTTTTCTTTCTTTTTTTTTTTGTTGTTGTTTTTGACTTGGATTTCAGATGATATGTGTTTAAGGCCAGAGCTCTTCACAATATTTTATTTTTCTAGTATTTGTTTGGAGTGATATAGCCCAGGCAATGAAATGGGAAAAAAAAAAAAAAAAAACGTGGTAGGTAGGGAATTCTAAGAAAGTCTTTTAAAATTTTAATTAGTGAATTATAGTTTTTGTTTGTTTGTTTGGCTGTTTTTATTTTGTTTTCGTTTGTTTATTTATTTATTTTTTTATTTTTTTGACACAGGCTCTCATATAGTTCAGGCTGGCTTGGAACTTCCGTCTCCAGCCGAGAACAACTGTCTACCTCTAGCAAATGTAGTACATGAAAAGCATAAGCCCATTCTGGGCTAAGCCAATGGGAGATTGTTTCTGCTGTCACTGTTGTAGGTACCAAGTGCGCTCAAAATCAGCTCTCATTAATAGCTTGCTTTAAATCAAGAGGAGGAGGTGATATTGAAAATGAGAGATCAGCAGCAAGAGGTATTTTAGGATCAAACTAAAGGACACAAAAGCTTTGGGATATGGTTTAAAATATAAGGTTCCTGTAAGGAGAAAAGGGCGGAGCTAACCCGTGTGGATAGCCTCCTCTACAGGGCACGGAGCTGGTGTTTCCCATGTCACCACAGCTCCATATCTCAAGCCTAGGAGAGAATAAGAGAAACAGAGAGGAAGAGCGGAGTGCTGGGAGAGGAAGTGACAAATGGCTTTTCAGTTTCAAAAGACACCGTAAACAGATGGAAAAGAACACAGGCATCGATTCAGAATAGCTAGGACAGAGAGCGACTCACACTTGTAAGGTCTTGTGAGTTTAGAGGGACAAGCACAAGGACAAACCCAAGATCTTGAGAAACAGCAACCTGGACGTCGTAAATAGAAAGACATACCTGATGGGCTCTCAGAGGGGATACCAGACTCTGACTCCCTAGTCTTCAAAGGAAAGTGGTAAAAAGCAATTTACTGTTTGTACACCAAACTAGCTAACTGGGAGTGGAGGGGTCAGGAAACTATGGAACGGGCCAAATCCAGCTGAAGACTACTCTTTATTCGGGAAGATCTATTGGAACACACCCATTCCTATTCATTTTCCTTTGTCTGTGGCTGCTTTTGTGCTGGAAGGGTGGGGCTGGGTATTTCCAAGAGATGCTCTGACTGAATCACCGAGTATCCGAGCCTCTGCAGACAAAAAGCTGGCCAGCCTCTGCTCTAGCTCACAGCCTCCTATTGTCTCACATATTTGCTTAAGCTAGTATTAATGTAAGGTCTGATGTGGGGCAAGCTCAAATATCTGCGCAACCAATGAGCAAGTGAGACTACTTTGTTTGAAAACCATCATTGACCTTCAGGAAAGCAATTCATGGAAAGAGTCCGGATTCTCAAGCAGACAGGGAGGAAATGGCCACAGATGCACAACTGCAGCCTTGCACTTGGAAAAGGTGAAAAGGGATGAAAGCACGGACATTCTGAAGTAGAGACGGGAGAACTGGGGAAGGGCCCACTCTGTTGCTTTATCTCACATTTGGCTTTTTTTTTTTTTAAGGCTTACGTATTTAATGCATATGAGTATTTTGACTGTGTGAATGCACGTGTGTGATGTCTGGTACCCCTGGAGGTCAGAAGACAGCATCAGCTCCACTGGAACTGGAGTGAGGGATAATTGTGAGCCATCCTGTGTGTGCTGGGAACTGGACTGAACTGAATTTGGGTTCTCTGAAAGAACAGCCTGTGCTCTCAATTGTGGG